AATCTGTTTGGTTGGTTGTTTGGTCTTGACATTTCTCTTGAAATATGAGAGTGTCATATTATCGTCAATTGATGATAACCATAAATCTGGAAGATAAAAGCAGAGAAAAAATATATATTATCAACCAATTCAACCCCTTAAAAGCAAAGAAGCAAAAAAAAAAAAAAAACGTTACATAATACGATATGAACATATCAAACATTTATAAATTTAGAAAAACACAAACCAATGAATCAACAATGTTATTAACAATCTTCTTAGCGCGTGTAACATATTGAACCGTCATAAAAGTGTTACAAATTTGGATATAGAATATCATAAAATTTACGCCAATGATAATGAAAATGAAAAAGCTAAGCTATATTTGTATGGAGTAATGATTTGGATCTTGCAAGAAATTTTCTCTAGACCAAACATATACTCCGCAGCATAGTCGGATAAAAATATTACAATCATATTGGACCATCATCATATTTGGTGTGATTAATATTTTGCTTCAATAAATCATTTCTTTATTTATGTATTTGCGTATGTTAATTCTAACTACACAAGTTAGGAAGTACAAATATTTTTAGGAGAATAACGTACCCGTATTAGATACGTATCGAATATTGATATGTTACGTATACTCGTGGATACGTGTTTGGTACTTCTTAAACGTATTTATAATTTTAAAATATATATTTTTAATTTCTAACATGTATCTGATACTTCTTAGGTATTTCGACTGCGTATCTGACATTTGTCAGACACTTCATAGCACATTTGTAATAACTTTGAACATTAAAATATTATTTTTCCAAAAATAATAAATAGTATAATTGTTAAGAAAAGTTCAATTTTTATTAAGTGATAACTAGGGATACTTGTTTTATATGTTGTGAAAGGAACTTCTATATTATTAATGATTACATTTAAATTCATAATATTTATAAAAAAAAATTGACCAAAAATTAATATATATATATATATATATATATATATATATATATAATTTATTATTACGGTATCTTTTTGTAAATATATGTCGTATTTATATTCCGTATCCATATCTGTGCTTCCTAAGTCACATGTAGGTAAGAAGAAATATTAGTTGGTTTTTGACTCTTTTCTTCTTATTATTTGATAAACTTGCGGATGCTAGGTGATGTGATGGCTTCTCTCAATAATATTTATTGGACAATCCATTTTTTTTCTTCTTCTTGATATATATCTATATATATATATATATATATATATATATATATATATATATATTAAATAGTAATTAATTGAACATATCCAGTTGCGTATGGACAGTGCATGTAAAATGAAATTAATTATCTAGCTTATTTTAGTAGGGTAAAGTTGAGAAAATGTTTTTATTTATTCATTTATTTTTAATAAAGTTTTTCATTATGATGTACATATATGATATTATATTTGGTGAACACGTGATTTGATGAACTTCTTAGGTGCAAGGGTTGTTAGAATTGTTCTTATTGAAACCTTGTTACTAGTTTCCAATGAAGAGAACATCAAGTACCAATTCCATTTGATGAACATGTAATATAAGTTTCTGAAACTAGTTTGATGATAAATTCGTATGAAATGCAAATTTTACAAATATATATATATATATATAAGAAAAAATAAATAGTAGAAAATAAACTACAAATGTAAATCATAAAATTGACCAAACACCCATGAAAGCCAGTAACATTCTCATATTTACATTCATCATTCCAACAAGGACGTGAAATAAAATTATTGTCTTTATTTAATAGAAATTTTACAACTGGTATAATGATTTTAATAACTACCAATAATGTGGTTAATAAAATTATGTTGTACACCACAACTAATCGTGTTACTTGTGACATTTCTCATTCGAGTGATAAAAGTTTAAAAACAATGCGGTATAATTGTAGAAACTAACCTTTTAATAGATATGAATAATTTTCTCCCATATATCAGTTTAAAATTCAAAATAAATCTTTAAAATAAAAAGAAAAAAGAAAAAATTGTCGATCAACCACTAAAAAGTAAAAACAAATACTTCTGCCTCTTAAGAAAATGGAGAACAAATCAAACATTTTATAAGACAAGAAAATCACAAAAGAATCAATAAAAAAAGCAAATTTCAAAATTTCAACATTCTTTTGGTTGTCACTATTTAATGCAATTTGAATATATTACGAATTGACCACAGGGTACAGCCACACAACAACATATGAATCAAACCAATTGCCTGAACCTGACCTTCAAAGTGCAAGTTGTGCACACATTGTCTACTTTAATTAAACCAATATATTTGAGTATGTTAATCCTTCTCTACATTACTGTCCCAGTTTGCTCTATCCATCTCTTTAACCACATAATTTGAAGTGTCAATCCTTGTTTTCCCAGATTTGCTAGCCAAATACCACTCTTCCTCTCCCAAAAGTATTTGAACATCCCAAATTTAGAAAAAAAATAAATAAATAACCAAAATAAGAAATAATTCTAGTATGTTTCTCGACAGATGAGTATTGTTGATTTTAAAATTATTCAAAAGCACACGGAATCTATTGAGGTATAGACATGCAAGAACGAGGTGAAACCCAAGAAAATGCTTTGTTAAACTAATGCGAATCAAAATTAATTTAAAACTAATGTAGTTAACAAAGTTGATTGATTGAAGAATGAATTTAAACTAAACAAATAATAAAGAAAAATATGTAACTAAGGCATCAGAGTCCACCACCATTAAATTTATAATCTTCTAATTATTCATTTACTAATTCCTAAATTTAGTGTAACAATTTAGAAATCAATCTATTGCTTTCTCAATATTTAGTACTAAGGCATGTGTGAAATATAAATTCAAAGATAGATTCTTCTTCGCTTAAAGAAGTAAATTTGTAAACATCTTATATATCCAATTCATGAAAGACATAAGATCATAGAAGTAATTCTAAGCATCATGTATATCCAAATCAATGAAAACAATAAGATAAAATAAATTTATTATCAAAAATTACAAAATCAAGCATTGATCAATTGAATATAGAATTATTCTAAGTACCAAGAATACATATTATTAATGGTGAAAATTCTAAAATTCAATCAATCATACAAAGCAAGAATCATGAATCATGAACGTTAAAACCATAATCAAGGGTATTAAATAAACAAAAACTAGAACTTCATTTCATTAAAGTGATCTCCATCTCAACTTTAGATCTCCTTCTCTATTCTGCCCGTCCCCTTTGTGTATTGTGCCACTCATGTTCTTCTTTTTCTTACACTCCACCATTCTACTGATTTGATTACTCCCGCACTCCATTGACTTATTTCTTTCCTTTCTCATATTTTCTACATTTCCTTTCTTCTTATACCTCTCTTCCAAACACCTAACTTCTCACTTCCTTTCTTCTTACTCCATATTTGATTACTCCCACACTCCATTGACTTATTTATTTCCTTTATCATATTTTCTATTTTTCCTTTGTACTCTCTTACCGTCTTACAGAGCCAAAAATATATTCTCTTTGTCCCAAAATATATGACCGTTTTGTGAGTTACGTTACAGTTTCCAAAGTGATCATATATTTTGAAACGGAAGGAGTAAAATATTGTCTAGTTATATGGATTTAAATCTTCTTGAAAAATAGTTACACACCATACCTTATTTCCAAAAGTGCTTCATGTGCTTGATTTGGGCTATAAAAATAAAAATACTTTTCCTTTCTTTAGCCATACACAAAAATCCATTCATCAATTAAAATAAATATAAAAAGTACAAACAAATATAGTTTTGAGTTTGAGGATAAAAATATGCATAAAATATAAACTCATCAATGAAAAGGCATGGATTGGAGTGAATGCGCGCGAGTTTAGAATATAATTTTGTGTGCTAAAAAATTGTCATTAATTTATAACACAACCAAAAGGCTAAAAATTGTCATCAATTAAAAAAATTTTAAAAAAGTGCTAAAGAATGAAGAACTTAAAATAGTGCAACAGTATGGATTCATGAAAATAAAACAGCTAAAAAGCTGGAGGATGGTTCTTCAACCAGTCCATCCTTCCATTTCTTCAGTATTTGCCGCGCCATTGACTACTTTATAATTCAAGTCCTGACCGTATAACAACTGCCTCGCACTGCACCATTTGACTTACTGCACCATTTGACTTACAGTTACTCAGTTAGCAAATATATTAAGCAAATGCCAACTGCACAGTTTAATTTAATTTTTATGCCAACTGCACAGTTTAATTTAATTTTTATGCCAACTGCATACTTTAATTTAATTTTTACTATTGGAACATATATAGGAAGTACACTCTAAGTCATATAAATTATTATTTTTTTAAACGAGTGTCACGTTTTATATTTTAAGCATGCTCCTGTGACGGATCCAGAAAATTATTTGAATGAGAGTCACCTTAAACAACAAAAAGATATATATATATATATGTGTGTGTGTGTCCGTAAATAAAAATAATTTTTTAAAATAATTTTGGAGACTTCGCGACACTTCATTTGACACTTCTTGAATACTTTACCAACACTTTCAAATATTTCTAATACAAGTCTATCCGCAATCTTAAAAATAATATAAACACAATATTCTAAATTGTTTACCTTTTTCCTTTAAAAAAATTGACATTATATACGGATAATCATTTAAAATATAAAAAAACTATTATAAGTAGTAAAATAACTATATATGTAAAAATTAAAAATAAATTCAAGTTTTATAATATTATTAATCAATACTTATATATATATATATATAAATAAAAATTTATATTTATATAATCGTTTTCAAATACAATCAGTGTTTTACTTTTTAAAATTTAACATATTAAAATTATATTCGTATTTCATTCTCCATGCTACATAGGTCCTTGCTATTGCTCCTACACTCCACGTTGCTTCAATTTTCATTGTGTGTAATTTATTTTGTCGTGTCTTTTCCCAATGCCATTTTTTTTTTATTACGCATCTCTTGCTTTAAATACGACGCGTCTCCAAGAGACAAAGTTAGAAGAATCACGTAATGGATATTCCTCACCTGTATGGTTGCAAAGAAAGCTGAGAAAAGAAATACTCCGTACAGTATTTTATATATTTATCAAGTTTCAAGATTTTTGAAAAGCGTTGTTTAAGTGTTGGTCATTAGTAACTTTAATTTGTAGGTTAAGATTGAGCACTGGGTTTGTTGGTTGAATGATAGATAGAAGATGGGTTCGAACTCGAATCGGATCTGTGCTGGTTTGGTCTATCTTCTTTTTTGTCTAATTTTGGATAATGGTATCGATATAGAGTTGTGTGATGGTGGTGTAACTAGTAGTTTTGCTAGAAAGAATGACATAAGTGCTGATATGCCAATAGACAGTGATGTGTTTAAAGTTCCTCCTGGGTATAATGCACCCCAACAGGTATGTGTCTTCAATCCTCAGTTCTTTTTCTTCTTCATTCACAAATTCTACCTCTTTTCTTGTATATTTTTATTTCTAGGGTTAATCCTAATTGGATTAACATGGTAAGCCCTGCATATTCCCTGTTTGGTTGCCAAGAAAGCTGAGGATAAGAAATTTAGAAAAGTTTTCTTCCCGCCTTTGTGTTGTGTAATTTTAGTTTCCAAAAATGAAAACCTCACATTTATGGAGCAAGCAGGTAGAAGACTTTAATTTGTGTTGTTTACTTAAGATTCTTGGCAGGCAAATAGAAATTGGGTGGTTTTTTTTTTTTTTTTTCCTTGTTGATTTTGCTTTCATTTTTCATATTTTGGTGCAAATTAGATGTCCCACTTTATAATTTATTGAATTTTACTTGAAGGTTCATATAACACAAGGGGATTATGAGGGAAACAGTGTGATTGTCTCTTGGATCACTCCAGATGAACCTGGTTCAAATACAGTCCTATACTGGGTTGAGAATAGCAAGCTCAAGAATAGTGCCGATGGCGTCGTCCTTACCTACAAATACTTCAATTACACTTCTGGTTACATTCATCACTGCACCATCAAGAATTTGGAGGTTGCGATTGTACTTACAACTTGAATTTGAATTTGCTAGTTTGAAGATTAGAGAATAGTATACAACTTGGATATTGAGATTTTCTTTATTACGAACAAATGCAGTTTGATACCAAATACTACTATGAGGTCGGGATTGGGAACACCAGGCGACATTTTTGGTTTGTAACTCCTCCGAAAGTTGGTCCGGATGCTTCTTATACTTTTGGTCTCATAGGTATTTCTTGAACATTAATTCATTCCACTGGTTAGTTTAATTAATTGCACTAAAAAGGTTGTTCATCATGTAGATTGTAAATCATAAACCAAGTCTCATCCTTTTTTATCTTGTAATTTATATTATAGGGTTTATTAGGAATTATTATGCATTAAAGATCTTTATATGGAGTGCTTTAAATCATTGGATTTTGTTTTCTGATCGGAATATGAGTGTGTTTACTGGCAGAGTATACACAGATACATAAATATATAGGGTTTTAGGTAAGTGTGTGTGAGGCGTATTAGTAAATATATTAGTTAGAATTTCTCCCTTGTGAAGGTGAGCCTGCCTCATTCCTTTATCTTTAATGATTTGATTTGGTAAGTTACAACAAAACATAATTATGCGTATGGCTGTGGGTATTTGGCGCTAATAATTGGTATTGAAGCTGCACAAAATCACTGAGAATTCTGGTTTTCTAGAAACTAAAAAGAGCATGAGTTGATGAGAAGATTTAGTATTGGTTCCTGAACTCGGTGCAAGATTTGCGCGGTTGAAGTAGAAGACTCGGTTTAAAACATTATTAAAATTCACATAGGGAATTAAATTCTGATATGATATATATTGATGATTCAGATGTTTCTATTAATTTTCATTTCAAGGGAGGGAATCATTTTGAGGTAAAAAATTTGGAGTCTTGTCCTTGCGGTGAGAATATAGATTAATCAGCTTTCAGAAATTTGGAGAAATGAACAATTATTTCAACACTGCACTAAATTTGAATATTTTAATTGTTAAATTTTTTTGTTGATGTAATTGATGAAACTGACGATGTAGAGGATTTGGGGCTTCTTAAATTATTTGATGTGACAAAAAAATTCGGTATCAAACTTAGCTCGGTCCTAAATTGAAGATCTGTTTTTCCTGATAAAAAATGCTGTTAAAAATATTGTTGAAGAGGAAGTCTTTGGTGGTCTAAAATAGTGGCAATATCTGAATTGAAGTCATAATCGAATTATTGGAATGTATAACTACTTTGTTGGTTCTAAGTTGGAATAGAGGAGTATGAATTCGTTATTAGTTGTTGTTGATAAGAAGAGAACAGTTATGCCAAAGATGAGGTTCAATGCACCCACAGGTGAATATGAGGTTCTCAATGGTTAAATGAAACTGTTTTCAGACGAATTGCTGATAGTGATAGAAATTTCATTGGAGATTACTGCTTATGATGGTAATGGGCATTGCTTGATTCAAGAGCTTTGCACAGAGTCAGATATTTTTGGTTCTAAGATTTGTCTTGGGTCCTAGAATTGGTGCTAGAGCTTAAATTTTTTTAAGATTCTACAAAGATTTAACATTGATTTTGTTGAAATATATGAAATAAATTCAGATGAAGGCAGTTATGTTAGTTAACTTTTACTGTTGATATTAGATTACTCTATCTAATATGTAGATGTTGTCTGATTGGGATAAAATGCGCTGAAATATACAAACAGAGCAAAAATGGAACGGATTTTTGCTGTGAACTCATTCTTTTGAGGATTGTGTGCAGGGGATCTTGGTCAAACTTATGATTCAAATAGAACATTAACCCATTATGAGTTGAACCCAGCAAAAGGGCAGACATTGTTGTTCGTTGGGGACCTATCTTATGCAGATGCTTATCCATTCCATGACAATACAAGGTGGGATACATGGGGGAGGTTTGTAGAAAGAAATGCTGCTTATCAACCTTGGATTTGGACTGCAGGGAATCATGAAATTGATTTCACTCCTGAATATGTATGCATCTTGTCATTTTTTTCAAGCACCGTGAATTTATAATTGGTCCTTTTCATCTTGTATAAATTATCAAGTTAAAAAGTAGCGTAATTAATGTAGAGTAAAACCATCTGTCATGATGCCTTATGCATAAAACATTTCTATTATGAAACTTGAAGAAAAATTTTATCTGGAAGGATTACATGGAAGAGCAATTGAGTTTATGTTCATATGATTTTTATTCGAATCCTTGTGCATAACTAAGTCATCTTCTTACTATCTATGGTGAACATTATTCTCAACTCAGTTACGTGATGCGTAACATCCAGCCATGATAATGAGGATGATCCTGTTGCAGGGTGAACCTAAACCATTCAAGCCATATACACACCGCTATTTTGTGCCATACAGAGCATCTGATAGCACATCTCCTCTTTGGTACTCAATTAAGAGAGCTTCAGCACACATTATTGTCATGTCTTCTTATTCAGCCTTTGGTAAGACATTTTTATTGTCAACTTGCATGATTTCAATGTAATTTCATATGTAAAGGTATACTTGTAGCTATATTAATCCATAACATGCTAAAAACATGTGCTTACATGCAGCAGAAAATATAAGAAAACAGTAGGCAATTTTTTTATTATTTATATTTTGTCGTAAATCATAATTTTAAATATGAAAAGATGAATAATCTAGTTAAGATTAATTACTGGGGTGAAAGAAACAGAGTTTATGAGAATCCCATGGCCCTAATTAGGATTTCTTATTGTATATTAGATGAGTATAACAAATACAATTCTAACTGTCCCCTCTGGGGTTTGACCAAAAGTAGTAATATGTACTGTAGGAACATATAGAAGGATTATGTGCATGAGTTATAGGGATTCATCACTCTATTACTCCCGACCCCTGCAAACTGTTAGTGCAGGACAGCGATGGTTTGAAAAAACCTGACAGGAAGACCGGTAGTGTTATCCTTGGTAGTGAGCTAGTTCAGCATGATAGTAAACAGCTTTGACATGGAGAAAAGCATATATTAACAAAATCTAAAACAAAATCATAGTCCACTTCGATGTGATTAGTGCGAGCATGAAGAACCGAATTGGAAGCCATTTGAGTAGCACATAGATTGTAACAAGAAAGTATCATGAGAGAGGATATAGGAATCCCAAGATCTTGAATAAGTAGGAAATTCAGAACATTTCAAAAAGGGTGACATCTATGTACTTAGCTGCAACTCTAACAAAAGACCATGGGCTCTTTCTTAGAACAACAGGTTTACAAAATAGTTGATTTGGTCCTAAAAGGGTGCAGAATCCAGCGGTTGATTGGTGAGTGTTAGGCAAACAAACCTAGTCAACATCAGAGAAAGCAGAAATGCTGTATAAAGGTCTAGGATGATATTATATAATATCAAGGAATTTGAAAAAATAAAGAGCATTGATAGACCTCGAATAATGATTCTTGAATGGGAATCATATAGGAAGAAGCAGAAGAAGAGAGGTAAATGAAAAAAAAAGGCTTGTCAAGGCTCTGTTAAAGCACCTTCTATGAAAAACAAGGTCTCTTCTATACACACTAAACAGTTAGGCGCATAATTAAGAAAAAAGAAAAGAAGTTAGATGATGGTTTGTAAGTAGGCTTCAGGGTCGAGGAAAAAAAGAGAAAAGAAAAAATAGTTTATCTTCATCTTTTAATTGTTTAATATTGTCTTTTCCTTTCTTTTTGTTAAGTGGTTGTTGCTTGACATGTTCTATTTCATCTAGAATGGTCCTTTGGTATATGTCCAATATTTCTAAATATATGATGATATAATAGATGATTAAACATTTATACGATTTAATGAATCTTACTGTCCACATTTATGTTTATATACTAGATTTTGATTTAGTTGGTGCATGGCATTTGATTGACGCAAGGCCCCTTTCAAACTGGGGGTGAACTTGTGGCCCAGTGGTAGGGTGCTCCTCTGTGGTTGTTGGGAGCCTTGGTCCGATTTCCCCCTCCCCCTTGCCATGATAAAGTAAAAAAGACCCTTTCAAACCCTTAGGCTCCATTTGGTTAGATGGAAATTAATAGTGGAAAGTGAAAGTAAAAGAAAGTGAAGTGAATAAAAAAAAAAAAAATTTCCATTATGTATTTGATTAGCATAAATTTTTTTCAAGAAAATTATAAAAAAAAAAATTACCATTCTATGGTTTGAATAGCATGAGACTTACCATGAAAGAAAGGGCATTATTTAAAATTTTCTCAAGAAATCAAAATTTTGCTCTGTATTTTGTAGGAATATTTTATGGAAAGTTAGGTGGTTATGTAATGTAATTTTCCGTCAACAATGTTCCTTTTCCTGCTAACCAAAACATCTGAAGTGTACAGAAATTTTCCAGTTCCTTTCTTTTCTTGCTATTTGTATCTAACCAAGCGGAATCTTAGGCACATGCCTTCTAGTAGCAATGAGAAATGAAGAATAGGGTGAGATGAGCAGGTGCAGATCCTCATATATTTTTGGGTACGATACTCAAAGCAATAGTTGATAACTGACTTGACTAGAAATGAGAAATGCAGTTCATGACTCTTAGCTACTTGGAAGCGTTCACCATCTTTATTAATTGCTAAAATTAGAAATATCTAAATTCTAACTATGTAGATGGATAGCCATGTGGACAATGCCAGAGTTGTGAGGAGGCTCAAGATCCAAATTAAGCAATTAGATACAGCACTTACTGTGGTCAGAATTATCCGAGTCCGAATGTAGGATCTGAAGTACATTTTGTTGCAACAGCCCTTCCTATTTGAAACCTCTATTCTAACTCCTTGAACAGAATCCAATTCTGCCACCATTTTTCCATAGAGTTCTATTGCTCCCTACTTGCTGAAAACACAGTATGGATAGTAATTGGATGAAATTCATTTATTTGAATATCTTATTTTCTTTAATTATTGTTGAACCAAGATGAGACTCGAAAGGCTTAACATCTACAGAAAGATCGTGATAGTTGACAGAATGTAATAACACGGCCGGCTGAAGGTCATGTGAGAAGTTGTACCTATGTCAGAAAAATGCACTTTTTTCGAAAGAAATAGGAGCTCTGATTTGGCATTTGAGAGCTCAATTGCATGTACCAAAAATGACATTAATGTGCAGCACAATCTGTTTTATTATAAGTTTGACTCCTAAGTTGGGGCCAGTTATGGTTGGAGCCGGCACTGTATTGATATAATGGGGACTTAGTATTTGAATAACGTTGAGAAAAGACTATGCAGGAAAAAATAACCTTGAGAAAAGGTTGGGGTTTCAATACGAGTTGGTTTGTTTATTAAGGGATGTTGGTTCAGGGCACATGGATGTGCTGGTGACTCCTTATTGTTCCCATGATTGGAACTATGTCCCAACGTAAACATTTCCAGGTTTGCTGAAATAGTGTCCTAATGCATTTTGTGTTGTAAAGAGCAGTATGGTCATTGGAATAAGGGAAAGTTGAGCTTTGAGTGTTTTAGATACACATAAGGTGCTGTTCTTTGGCTTAAAGGCTTAAGGTGATGGTTTCCACTGGTGGTTAAGTAGGCCGCATATTGTCCAGGACTGTTTAGTGTATGTTGAACCAGATTTAAAATCTAAAATTCCTTCATTCACTATAACAAGATATTTTACCATAGGCTTTATGTGTTGATGATGATTAGTGATTGCGTAGGATTATCAGCAAAAAATAAGTGTGAAATTAGGCTCAATCCCCCTCCAACTCGAACTCCATTAAGTTGTCTTCTAGCCACCGATTAATTCAAAAGTAACCTTGTCTGTTGTTTGAAGCTCCTTGCAAGATAAGATTTCGTTGCCTTAGGCTCATGGAAACACTTACTGAACTGTGTTCCATGCTTCTTTTTCAGTCTTGAGGCAAGGTAATTGAACTGATACTGATCCAGTGAGAGTAGCTTCGATGCACACCTTCCCAAAGTGATATGATTTCCTCCATGTGATAAATGCTACATTCAGTATTTCGGTTTGAGAAAATGATGCCATGACGTTCATAGGATGCAGGCATCGGAGCTGAACCATCTACCCAGGCGATTTATTCTGTGCAGATAAATATTATCTCAAACTGACAACGCAACTAGAATAGTTGTTTCTATCAAGTTTGATGGAGACTTTGAGTTAGTGATGTTGGCGTTTGGAAGGTCTAAAGTGGAGGATGAAGCAGCAGCCATGTTGTCTGTAAGAGTGGAAGGGAAGTGTTGCCTCCAACACTGGTTTTGCTGCCAATTCCAGAAATGCAATAATGGTTTTATGGATCTGATGTCATGAAAGAGATAAACTATTTGTCAGAACTGGCTGACCCTGATTAGTGTTAGAATTAGATGATTGTAATGAATCAAAAACAAAAATGCTCGTGTTTTGACTTAACAGATTAAAAACATGTATAGTAGGAGGAACTTGACATGTATGGAAGGATTATGTGCACGAGTCAATACTAATTCTACATCACTCTCTAATGGGGTGAAATCGCAGAAGTATTATATGGCACAGAACTTCTATGGAAATATTTTTATTGCGCTAGGTAGTCCGATTGAAAAATAGCTCCTGTATAAAGAGGCATTATCATCTCCCTTAAGCAAATTGGTCTTTAGGTCAGACACCACCCAATTTTGGAATCACAAGCAATATAGGGCTTTGGGGTTCTTAAGGCCTATTAGCACGTCAAGAGCTGCAGTAATGCTTTTACAAATTAATGCGTGTCTGGTTTGTTGTACGGTTCTTCATGTAAATATGTGGAGAATATACATTTCAAACAGTTATTGAATATATATTTTTTCTTTGCAGGCAAATACACTCCTCAGTACAAATGGTTAATAAAGGAGCTACCTAAAGTGAACAGGAGTGAAACACCATGGCTCATTATTTTAATGCATTCTCCACTCTATAGTAGTTATGTACATCATTACATGGAAGGGGAAACCATGAGAGTGATGTATGAGCCATGGTTTGTGGAGTACAAAGTCGACATTGTCTTTGCTGGCCATGTTCATGCTTATGAACGATCAGTAAGTTCTAAATTTTCTCATTCTCCTTGAACTATATTACTAATAGAAATAACTCTCATTCGTAAAACAATTCTTAACCTTTGAGTTCATTTCTTAGTCTATTCTTTGAGCATCTGTTTGATTACTTTTGCATATATATTCCAGTGGTTTTGGTTCTTTCTAGCAATCTCTATATATGTTATACAAGTGATCAAACTATAAAAAGCTATCAGAACATTAAACGTTTAACTACTTGGTTTATAATTAATGCCAAAATATTTCACATTACAGGAACGTGTATCTAATATTGCATACAACATTGTAAATGGGTTGTGCACTCCCATTAGTGACCGTTCAGCCCCTGTTTACATAACAATTGGAGATGGAGGAAATCAAGAGGGATTGACAACAGAGTATGTTTCGTCACAAATCTGCTATTAGCCATTAATCAAGAAAATATGCTTTCTTCCTCGTAAGTTTTAGTTACTGGTAATTTGCGTCTTTATCTGCAGAATGACAGAGCCACAGCCACCCTACTCGGCATATCGTGAAGCAAGCTTTGGTCATGGAATTTTTGACATCAAGAACCGAACTCATGCCTATTTCAGTTGGCATCGCAATCAAGATGGATACGCTGTCGAAGGTGACTCTTTATGGCTTCACAACAGATACTGGAAATCGTGGGAGGAATCCAGTTTAGCTACATTATGATAATAGAATTATTTTATGCTCTGCACTCTCTAGGTCTAGAAAAACTAAAAAGTAAGTGTGTGACACATCTTAGCATTCATTGTTTATTAGACGATTTGCTATTTAAGTTCATAATATAATTTACTAAAGATTTCCACAAATATGTTGTTCATGATAGTTAGTTGCGTGAAACTGGTTAGTCATTAGCTCAATTTTAAGATACTCATTTAGAAAAACTCAAAAGTAAGTGTATGACACATCTTCAGGGTCGTTTTGAGTATTGCACAAATTCCATTTCATCAACATTAATGGTTTATTATTTTATTAAAATACATGAACTTCACTGGTGCATTGAATCTAAATTATACTCTTCTCTCTGTACTCTCTCTTATTTTCCATCTACATTCTCTTCTCTTTTATTTCTCTTTGTCCTTTACTCTCTTCTCGTCTCTTTTTTTTCTCTCTATTATCTTCTTCAACCCCTATTTTTAAGGGTATTATGCGTACCATGAAAAGTTTTTGCGTGCTTGGTGTATATTTATTATCGTTGAAGTAAGAGATGGTTGTCGCGTATTCGATGTAAAATTGTTACATTCTTGATATGTGGTGGTAACCGTAAAGAGCGTTGCCTTTCTAATGTAAAGTTTTTGCGTGCTTGGTGTTTATTTATTATCGTCGATGTTAGAGCAGGATGTATAGTTGTTGCGTATTCGATATAAAGTTGTTATAAAGTATGTTTCGGTTACCAACAGGTAAGTGTTCTAGCGGTACTAGGTTCTTATTCCTCAAAGAGAGGTCAGAGGTTCAAGTCTCCTTGGAAGCAAGTGTGTGTGAGTACCAACTAAGAAAAAAAAAAACAGAAGTATGTTTCGGTTTCAAAGATAAAATTGAAATTATGTAAAGTATGTTTTGAATATGATTGAAATTAATATTGAAAAGTGATATTAAAAGAAAGTGAAATGAACAAAAGAAATAAAAGTTAGTATTGAAAGTGATATTATATTTGATTAGTATGAAAAATTATCATTTTGTGGTTTGATTAGTATAAAACTTACCAAAAGGATATTATTGTTCATATAACTTTTTCAAGAAATAAAAGTTAATGTTGTAATTTTCATCTACCCAAACAATCTTGAGTAAAAATAATAGAAATAATATTTTATTTACCATTTCTTACAATTTAATGTTGTTTTCATAGATAAGAAAAACAATTGTCAGTGTATTGTACAAAGAGTTTCTGGATATCCGTAATAATAATATCGTGAAGCTAAATTAGAAAGCTAATATAATTGATAACAAATAAATAGATGATGCAAAAAATCTGGGAGGTAAATATGAAGAATTAAAAATAGCTAAAATATAGAACCTTTTACTTAGAATAGAGTTTTAACAGTTAAAATTTTTAGTTTTGTTTTGGTTTTGTTTTTGTTTTCGTTTTTGAATGAATTAAAACGAGAGAGATTACAGACAAACTTGGTCATACCCAAGGCCCAAAAAGGCCAACAAAGGTGCATAAGGAAAACAAATGTGAGGCTCAAGCAAGCTTACCCAAAAAACTAAATCAGCCCAACCAAGGGAACACTTTACAACAAAAAAGCCCACAAACAAATCAAAAAGACAAATGTGAGTTTGTACCGTTAGAACATGGCTAAATCCGAAGAAACTATTCCCTCCTTCCTTCTTTGATCCTTCGCAAATTTTTAGTTTCGTTCAAAATTCTACACCATTAGAATTAAAACATTTCTACTTAGAATGTTTTGCAGTATGGCAGAATCATGTGATTTCAAGTAAATATGAATGGAACGTTCTGCAATACCATAAAGTCCTATAAATTTGAGGAATTGGAGAAGCTTGTACAAGAATATAGAGTTTGTAAATATGTGTATATTTAACTATAGAGATCTAGAAACTGGAATAGAATGTCTCTATATATACTCCAAATCTTTGTTGTTAGTGGAGGCTGTAAATATTTACATATTTTGTAGTGGAATGTGTATATTGGTTTGCCTTCATGAATTATTGATACAATGCAACTCAACTATCCTAAATGACTCAAAATTCCAAATAGTCAAAAACATGTATGCATGTTAGGAGTTTGCAAAATTTCAGTATCACATTTCAGTTTTGGACACAATTCACATCACAATTCATGTGTAAATTCAAACCCTAAAAGGATGTACATGCATCCAGTTTCTATTTGTAATTCCATAATTTCAAAACACAAAGCAATACAACCATTTCTACCAAGGAGTTCTAATACCACCTATGACGTAAATGCTGACCTGAAAGATGACCCGATAATAGATCCAGAATGTAGAAGCGAAAGACAGGACCAAAGTCTGTAGAGATGTATGTCATCCCTAAGACGCAATAATGACTCCTGTGAAACCATAGAAATCGAAAGAAAACAAATGCGGATATAAAGTTTTGAAAATGCTTAATTCTTAGAATGTTTATTTTGTAAACCTTTTATTTTTTCTTGCTTGTTATCACTTATATTCCCTTCTCCGTGGTATGGTGAGTAGCTCCTTCTAGGAGACATCGAGGAATGATAACCACCATGGTTATGGTGATTATTTCTATCGCGACCACAACTAATTTTTATTTATTTTTTACTGAAATAGACTTCGTGAGTAACCAAACCAAACTCGTTTTACATAATAGACATGTATTTCATAAAGTGTGTTTGATGCAGGAAGTACGAAGAGAAGTTCACTTGCAACTGTACTCTCGATCAATCGAAATTTTCAACAATCGATCGAGATTTTCCACGATCAATCGAACAGGCTTGTAGAATGATGCCCTGGGAACAAAAATTTCCAACGTAAAATCGATCAATCGAAATGATTTTCGATCGATTGAGGCAATGGTCAATTGATCGAATGGAATTTCGATCGATCGAAAAGTCCTGGGCAGAAAAAAAAAAAATTTGAAATTTATTTTATTATTATTTTTTATTTTATGCCTAACATGCATGAAATCTTCAATGAAGCTCAATGGAACATATCTAGATGTCGCAAGAAGTGAAAAATAAAAAGAAATGGGAGAGGAAATGAACATCTTGTTGCGTAGTGCCTCATGCTTCTGTGTTGTTTCTTGAATGATATGGTTTATGCTCGAAATATTTTAAGGTAACTTAGGATGCTCCTTGAGTCTCACCTTTGACATAGAGATAGGTGGCATGGACCGTATGTATTGATTTATATCAATTTAATGAATAGTAAAATGTTAAGTCGATGAAATATAAAGGAGAACTCACCAAATATCTGTCTGAACCAATCAATCAAAAGCAGTTCGAATGACCTAGGCTCGCACCGAAAGCAACATCAAATAATCAACCCGTTCATGTCATCAATATGATCCATGGATGCCCAGAAGAGGATAAGGAGCCAGAGAATTCCTACAGAATACAGCTCAAGCAAGCTCATTAAAACACTCTTCGTGACGTTAAAGGGAGCAAGCAAATAATCACCATTAACGGCATGATTAGCCATTAATGGAGGATGACCATAATTCATGAAATAATAATTTTTGGCCCAATTCTAATATTAATTTCAAAAAATAAAATAAGTTAGCGAATTAGCAGGTTTATAATCCCACAACTTGAACGAAAATCAACATGAATACCGACAGCTAGTGGGAGGATAGATTTATAGTGGGAAAACCTAAACTGAACATAAAGTGGGAAAACCATAGTAGCATCCACAACAATGTCCAAGCCGAATGGCAACATATGCAAAAAAGTCAGTGCTGATATTTGATGTGTGAAAATAAAATACAGGTTGTAAAGGAACCATAGCAATTCATTACCATTTTACTTTCTTTAAGTAAAAGTTATACATTATTTGGCAAAGACAAACCCAACAGTGAGTTTCGACTAGCAAAGCTCGATTAATTCCAATGAGCTCTAAGCAAAAAACTGTTGGGAAACGTGCTAGTTTTAAAAACTTTTTAAGGGATTTTCATTTACAGATCTTGATTCATCACATAGAGACAAGTTTTATTCAAAAATAAAATATGATGTATCATTCAATTAACAGATTGAATATTTACATCAAAGGTCTGAGTAAACTTTTAAATCTTTCCTCTAAAGTGAATGTTCTCACTTATTGTAAATCCCTTAGCAAGATGCCTCCTCCTTGGATCTCCATCTTCTTAGTACTTGTTTTGCCTTTAGGAATCACTTATAAGCCTCCATGAATGACGTTGAAAAACTAGGCTTGTGGGAGCCACCATTAGATGAGAACACTAACCCTAGTTTTCTAGAGAGAGAAAATATATTCCTTTTTTCTTCTACTAAAAATCACATCTAAAATATACATAGACCATGTATATTTATAGGCAACATAAAGATAAAAAAAAGGAAACAACAAATCCTTCTCAATCTCTAATTCACATGTCTCAAATCTAATAGGATTCCAATATCAAGTTGGGCTATGAGTGTGAATCCTTTGGGTTTATTATTTTATTAGCTACAATGAATTAATAATTGGCTCGGTCCATGGACCCAATTCAATTAATTCATAAATTAATTTCTATTCCACTAAAAGAAATTAATTGAACTCCAATTAAATAATAAATAACGTCTAAGTCAATATTACACTTTGACCCCTCTATGTATAATTAGTTATCGGATAAATAAAGCTATCAATCCGACTACTTAATTAATACATTTATTTTGGTACCTTTGATTAATTCTGCATCGATCACAATAAAACATTTATCTGACAAAAATAATAATTTAAATAAATAAATATATAATAAATCATTTTGTCTAAAAACACACAAAGGCCTTCGAATTTACTTTGTGATCAACCATAATCAATACAAAATAAATACAAGTAGCAATGATGCAAATATTGAAAATATAACCCTCTAACTATTAATTGCATAACTACCCAAAGTGTCGGTCTAAGAATCTCGAAGTATCCCCCGAACAAATCAAAGTAATTATTAATTAATAAAAGAGTCTATATTTTTCTCATGCTTAAGAGTCAAATGCCATGACAGTGATAGGGAGTAATTGCATACGATGGCTCTCGCAATATATCTCAACCTAACGTAGATTCAGTTCAAGTCTTAATTAATTATGAGTCCATCCATAATTACTGACTATGAACAATTTATGATTACTATTTATATTCATATATTGATCGCCATCACATACATATATAAATATCTCTTGTAATTAAGTGGACACTTTCAATTTTATAATGAATCGAAACATAATATATTGAATTCACCAATTGTATAAAGCATAAATATTTCAAAAACGTCAGGAACATATGTCACTATAATCCAAATGGGAATTTGCTATGCCAGGGCATATAAATCCCAACAGCTCCCACTTGCCCTCATAGCC